TCTGCAAGCTCCAATACCATCAATGGTGAGGCCTCTCAGGCGAAACGCCCGGTCCGCCCTTTCGACCGCCTGTGGGTGCGACAGGGAGGAGTTGGTTATAAGGAAAAGGAATGAGGAGGAGGAGAAGGATAATACGGACGAGGCAGAGGCAGAGGAACAGAAGGTGTACGGTAGGTAGAGGAGGTGAGGAGGAGAACGGGAAAATGGAGCAGGAGGTGCAGGGGGCAGTTGAGCTGGAAGCGTGAAGGCGCCAGGCGCGGAGAGTAGAGGTGGAGGACGAGCAAGAGGTGGAGGAGGTAGAGGAGGAGGAGGTTGAGGAGGAGGAGGAGGAGGGAAGGATGACGATAATGATGACGACGATGAGGATGATGATGCTGATGCTGTTGCTGGTTATGATAATTATCAGTATCCCGACACGGATGATGATGATGATGATGATGATGATGATGATGATGATGATGATGATGCTGCTGATGCTGCTGATGCTGCTGATGCTGACGCTGAAGATGCTGATGCAAATCTTGATTCTGCTGCTGCTGATGATGTCGATGGGAATGTTGATGCTGACGCTGATGCTGCTGCTGATGATGCTGCTGCTGATGATGCTGATCCTGTTGTCGATTGGTTATGATTCTGATGATGATGCTGATGACGATGGCGATGACGATGGCGATGATTGATTGATGACGATAATGAATACGATGATGCTGGTTCTAATGGCGATATATGGTGATTCGGATGATGCTGATGATGACGACGATGTTGATGATGATGATCATGATGATAACGATGTGGATGATGATGAGGATGATGAGGATTATGATGATGATGATGCTGATGATGCTAATGATGATACTTATTCTGATGATGCTAATGAAGATGCTGATGAGGATTATGAGTATGGTGATGATGATGATGATGCTGATGATGCTGATGATGATGATGATGACTATGATGATGATGATGATGATGATGATGATGATGATGATGATGATGATGATGATGATTATGTTGAGGACGCTGATGGTGATGATGATTCTGATGATGATGATGATGATGATGATGATGATGATGATGATGATGATGCTAGTAACTACTAGTAACAATGATGATACACGTATATATGATGATGCGGAGAAGGAGGGGCAGGAGAAGGAGGTGGTGGTGCAGGAGGAGGAGGAGGAGGGGAAGGATGAGGCTGCGGATGAGGATTAGGATCATCATGAGCATGAGGATGAGGATGAGCATGATGATATTGATGATGACGATGATGGTGATGATGATTATAATGTTGATGGTAACAATGATGATATGATCATGATGAGGAGGAGGAGGACCAGTGCAAACCCAATAATGATCAGCGATGTTGGAATCAACCTTCCCTTCAAGCTCCCTCTTCATAGGCCCCTAAGAGGGTTCATCTCCACTGAGGGAACTTCCTCGTTGGAAGACAACCGTTTGAAGACGCTGAAGCATGCCAAAAAATTGTTCTCGGGACTCCAACGCCACGGATCAACTTGACTGTTGCGTCTTGGCGATCCGGAATTGCGCCAGAACGCCGTTCTTGGGATTTCAACACCGCGAATTAACTTGATCGTTGCAACCTCCTGATCCTGAATCCTTCCAAAACACGATTTCTGGTACGTTGATCATGGGAACCTGTGAAACTCTTGCAAGTTTTATACACGAATGTGCGCTGCGCTAAAGCGAGAGCCACATTTTTTTGAAGCGGAACCGCTTTCAATCTGTCAACCTTTGGCAAAGTTTTAAAACGAATGTGCGCGGCGCTGAGGCGAGAGCCGCATTTTGAAAAGGAACCGCCCCAATCGGTGAATTCTTGCAGAGTTTCAAAACGCGCGGCGCTAAGGCGAGAGTCACATTTTGAAAGCAAGCTGTTGCCAATTCTACGCTCCAGAGTCATACGGGCGTGTACATGGTGAGGATGTCTCAGGCAAGGCGCTCGGCCCGCCCTAAAACTGGCTACGAGGTGCGACAGGGCGAAGTTATTTATGATGAAGAGGAATAGAGGAGGAAAAGGAGGAGGAGGAGGAGGGGGAGGAGGAGGTGGAGGAGGAGGAGGAGAAGGAGGAGGAAAAGGAGGAGGAAGGGGACGAGGGGGAGGAGGAGGAGGAGGAGAGGAGGAGGAGGAGGAGGAGGAGGAGGACGAGGGGGAGGAGGAGGAGGGAGGAGGGAGGAGGAGGAGGAGGAGGAGGAGGAGGAGGAGGAGGAGGAGGAGGAGGAGGAGGAGGAGGAGGAGGAGGAAGGGGAGGAGGAGGAGGAGGAAGTGGAGGAGGAGGAGGAGGAGGAGGAGGATGAGAAGGACAAGGAACAGGAGGAGCAGGAGCAGGAGCAGGAGCATGAGCAGGAGGAGGAGGAGGAGGAGGAGTAGGAGGAGGAGGACGAGGAGGAGGAGGAGGATCATAGGGATCCATCGGGGCCGGGGCCTGCTGTGCCGTCGGGGCCGCGCTTTGCCGAGGAGAAGGCCGAACTGCACATCAAGGAGCCGCCTGGCCAGCTTAGCTTTGGGGCCCCAATGCTTCCATCGGTCAGCCGCTCGCTTGGTCCAAGAGGAAGAGGGTGGGAGGGAGGGAGGGAGGTAGGAAGGGACGGAGGGAGTGAGGGGGAGTGAGGGAAGGAAGAAGAGGAGGAGGATGAGGAGGGGGAGGGGATGATGATGTTGATGATGATGGTGGTGAGGATGATGCTCATGAGGATGATGATGCTGATGATGGTGTTGATGATACTGATGATGATGCTGATTATGCTGATGATGGTGTTGATGATACTGATGATGATGATGCTGATGCTGATGCTGGTGATGATGATGGTGACGATGATGACCATAATGATGATTGCAGATGGTGTTTATGATCCTGCTGATGCTGCGGATTATGCTGATGCTAATGATGCTGCTGATGATGATGTTGCTGCTGGTGATGCTGCTACTGGTGCTGCTGATGATGATGAAGAAGATGCTGCTGCTGCTGATGATGACGATGAGGCTGCTGGTGATGATGCTGATGCTGATGCTGCTGATGATTGTGATGATGCTGATGCTTCTGATGATGATGCTGCTGATGTTGATGATGATGATGATGCTGCTGATGCTGCTGATGAGTCTGTTGATGATGCTCCTGCTAATGATGCTGATGATAATGACGATGATGATGATGACGATGCTGCTGATGATGCTGATTACGATTATGATGATGCTGATTATGATGCGGATGATGGTGAATAAGAGTAAGATGACGACGATGATGACGATGATGATGAGGATGATAATGGTTTTGAGGATGGTGATAGCGATCCTGGTGATGAGGCTGATAAGGATGTTGGTAATATTGATGATACGATGATGATGCTGATACTGATGCTGCTGATGATGAAGACGATGATTATGCTGAGGAGGATCAAAATGAAGATGACGCTGATGGTGATGACGATGATGATGCTGATGCTGATGATCATGATGACGACGACGATGCTGATGAAGATGCAGATGGAGATGCTGATGAAGATGCTGACGATGCTGATGCTGCTGATGGTGAGGATGATTATGATGTTGTTGATACTGACGATGATGCTTATGATGATGATGATGCTGGTGATGATGATGCTGATACTGACGACGATGACGATGCTGACGATGATGATGATGATGATGATGCTGATGATGATGCTGCTGACGAGGATGATGGACATGATGATGGTGATACTGATGACGATGATGATGCTGATGCTGTTCACGACGATGATGATGATGATGATGATGATGATGATGATGATGATGATGATGCTGATGATGATGATGATGATGATGCTGATGATGATGCTGATGATACTGATGATCATGATGATGATGATGATGATGATGATGATGATGGCTGTGCTGATGATGATGCTGGTGATGCTGATGTTGATGCTGCTGAGGATGATGATGATGCTGATGCTGCTGATGATGCTGATGATGTTGATGTTAAGGTTGATGCTGCCGATGACGATGACTACTTGGTGATGCTGGCGATGATGTTGATGCTGCTGCTGATGCTGATGATGCTGATGATGATGCGGTTGATGCTGTTGAGGATACTGTTTTTTTATGTCAAGGATGGTGATGATGATGATGCTGATGCTGATTATGGTGATGATGCTGATGCTGATGCAGATGCTGATGATGCTGTTGATGATGATGATGCTGATGCTGGTACTGCTGCTGATGATGATGGTCATGATGATGATGACGATGATGATGCTGGTGATAATGACGACGATGCTGATGAGGATGATGATGACGACGCTGATGATGATGATGATGCTGATGATGATGATGATGATGATGCTGATGATGATGATTATGATGATGATGATGATGATGATGATGATTCTTATTATTATTATTATTAATATTAATAGTTTTAATTTCGTTATTGTTTATTAGTGTTATTGTTATTATTATCATCATCATTATTTTTATCACCAACTATTAATATTGTTACTATGTTGTTGTTGATGATCATGATGATGATGATGATGATGATGATGATGATGATGATGATGATGATGCTGATGATGATGATGATGATGATGATGATGATGATGATGATGATGATGATGATGATGATGATGCTGATGCTGTTGATGCTTATGCGGATTCTGATGCTGATGACGACGATGACCAGGCGGAATGGGGAGGAACATGAGGATTGGAGAAGGACGACGAGGAGGAGGAGGCGGAGGAGGAGGAGGAGGAGCAGGATGAGCAGGTTGATGAGGAGGTGGAGGAGGCGGAAAAAGAGGAGGAGGAGGCGGAGGAGGATGAGGAAGAGAAGCAGGAGGAGGATGGAGAGGGGGAGGGGGAGGAGGAGGAGGAGGAGGAGGAGGAGGAGGAGGAGGAGGAGGAGGAGGAGGAGGAGGAGGAGGAGGAGGACGAGGAGGAGGAGGAGGAGGAGGAGGAGGAGGAGGGAGGAGGAGGAGGAGGAGGAAGAGGAGGAGGAGGAGGATGAGCATGAGGGGCATGATGAGCATGAGGAGGAGGATGAGGAGGAGGTGGATGGGTGATGTCACGTGAGGGTGAGGGATGATCGGGATAGACCGCAGCCGTTTTGGCGCTCCTTAACCCCATCCGCACATACCGAACGTGTTCCCTTGTGGCTGACTGTTTTCGCGGGTTGACGTTGGGACTGATCGTGCCAGGAGAAGGAATACGAGAACGATGAGGCGGAGGAGGATGACGAGGAAGGGTGATGAGAAGGAGCAGGGGAAATTGGGGGAGGAGGGGGGGAGCAGGATGGGGGGAGAGGAGGAGGAGGGGAAGGAGGAGGAGGAGGAGGACGAGGAGGCGGAGGAGGACGTGGAGGTGGAGGAGGAGGAGAAGGACTCGGAGGTGGAGGAGGAGGCAGAGGAGGATGACGAGGAGGAGGAGGAACAGGAGGAGGGGGAGGAGGAGGAGGATACGGGTGAGGAGACTGAGAAGGAGGAGGATGAGGTGTAGGAGGAAGAGGATGACGAGGAGGAGGAGGAGCAGGAGGAGGGGGAGGAGGAGGAGGATACGGGTGAGGAGACTGAGAAGGAGGAGGATGAGGTGGAGGAGGAAGAGGAGGAAGAGTAGGAGGAGGAGAAGGGAGAGGAGGAGGAGGAGGCGGAAGCCTGCAATTAAGAGACCGACTACTTATATTATGGAGACTACGAAGAGTTACACGAGTAATGAAATTATCAATACCTTGGATAACAATAAGACAAATCATGAAACTAAGAATAATCATGCTAGTACGTATAAGCATCGTTGACATAATATGAGGCGACTACACATAATGCGAAGAAGGACATGCAGACGCAGATGAGGACGCATACGAATACACAGGACGACCACTAATATTACTACAAATAAGCATAACACCTAGACATACTGCCAATCCAAAGAATACAATATGTAACACGAAACGCACGAGAAGTAATACGAATAAACATGTCAATACAACGATAACAAGCATCATACTATTCAGAAGAAGCGCTCAAATCGTATTAACCATACGTACAAGATTAGTAATACTGATACGAAGGCGACGACGACTAACACCACTGATATTGTTACTACTAATAATAAGAACAATAACAGTTCTAATACCAACAGTAATAATCGTAGTGGTAGTAGTAGTAGTAGTAGTAGTAGTAGTAGTAGTAGTTGTAGTAGTAGTAGTAGTAGTAGTCGTAGTAGTAGTAGTAGTAGTAGTAGTCGTAGTTGTAGTAGTAGTAGTAGTAGTAGTAGTAGTAGTAGTAGTAGTAGTAGTAGTAGTGGTAGTAGTAGTAGTAGTCGTAAGTAGTAGTAGTAGTCGTAGTAGTAGTAGTAGTCGTAGTAGTAGTAGTAGTAGTAGTAGTAGTCGTAGTCGTAGTAGTATAGTCTAGTAGTAGTAGTAGTAGTAGTAGTAGTAGTAGTAGTAGTAGTAGTAGTAGTAGTAGTAGTAGTAGTAGTAGTGTAGTAGTAGTAGTAGTAGTAGTAGTAGTAGTAGAGTAGTAGTAGTAGTAGTAGTAGTAGTGGTCGTATTAGAGGTCGTAGTAGTAGTTAGTGTAGTAGTAGGTAGTAGTAGTAGTAGTAGTAGTAGTGGTAGTAGTAGTAGTAGTAGTAGTAGTAGTAGTAGTAGTAGTAGTAGTAGTAGTAGTAGTAGTAGTAGTAGTCGTAGTAGTAGTAGTAGTAGTAGTAGTAGTAGTAGTAGTAGTAGTAGTAGTAGTAGTAGTAGTAGTAGTAGTAGTAGTAGTAGTAGTAGTAGTAGTAGTAGTAGTAGTAGTAGTAGTAGTAGTAGTAGTAGTAGTAGTAGTAGTAGTAGTAGTAGTAGTAGTAGTAGTAGTAGTAGTAGTAGTAGTAGTAGTAGTAGTAGTAGTAGTAGTAGTAGTAGTAGTAGTAGTAGTAGTAGTAGTAGTAGTAGTAGTAGTAGTAGTAGTAGTAGTAGTAGTAGTAGTAGTAGTAGTAGTAGTAGTAGTAGTAGTAGTAGTAGTAGTAGTAGTAGTAGTAGTAGTAGTAGTCGTAGTAGTAGTAGTAGTAGTAGTCGTAGTAGTAGTAGTCGTAGTAGTAGTAGTAGTAGTAGTAGTAGTAGTAGTAGTAGTAGTAGTAGTAGTAGTAGTATTATGAATGATACTCATTGAATTAGTCATAATGACGATGCCAATGCGAATAATACTACGAAGACGATGACTACTACGACTAGTACTGATAGGGATCATCGTTACAGGAATAAACATAGCACTAACAATCATGGCACTACTACCACTACTAACAAGAATAGGAGGATGAGGAGGATGCTGAGGATGCGGGTAGGGGAGGAGGAGGGGGGAGGGGGAGGAGGACGAGTAGGAGGAGGAGGTGGTGGAGGCGCAGGAGGAGGAGGAGGAGAAGGATAATGAGACTGAGGAGGAGGAGGATGCGGATGCTGAGGAGGAGGATGAGGAGGAGGATGATTAGGAGGAGGAGAAGGTCGAGGTGGAGGTGGAGGTGGTTGAGGAGGA